CAAAATACCCTTGAGCTATTTAAAACCGAAGCCTAACCCCCACTCGGTTCCCATTACCCAAGAAACCCGAAACTCGAAACCCTTGCTTATAGAATATAGACCCTAAGTTGCAGCAGCCGAGCGAAAACCTTTTCGAACACTTTCATTCTTTTAATACCTCTCACACGAAACAGCCACACAGGATATCCCTATCATCTCTCGCTCCAATTTACCTCTCCATGGAATACCACGGTGCCGCAACGAGAAGAGAGGCATCATTTGAGTGAAAGGGGGTTTCTTGGATTTTAAGGGACCGGGAGGGATTAAGGGGGGTCTTGGACGAACAGAATTAGATGGGACGCCGGAATTATTGGACCGGAGGGGAGATTAATTGGAGATCAGGGAGAGTAGAATTGGGCGGTGAGAGAAGCATGGAGGGGAAACGGTCGCCGGGTATAAAAATGCTAGAGAATTATCAAGCTAATCACGTCGGAAGATAGGCTAAACGTGAAGGGTAAGCTCTCGTTATTCTCCATCGTATGTCTTACAAATTAGTGGTGGTCTCACATCTTTTGCGGTCGATATGCTGTGGGGACTTCACGTCTTGAAGTGATGTTGGGGGCAACCTATTTCGAGGTCTAGCATGGGCGACTCAATCCATACGTACAAAGGTGCAAAGGACTTGGTGGCGGCGACACATTGAGAGATTCAACCGGATTGGTCACAATCATATTGAGAGGATTCGACATTGGAGAAGAAGCTGTGAATGTCAAGGCAGCTAAGGATTCAACACAAGAGCATGACTAGTCAGGTGAGTGTAAAGGGGTAAAATCTCTGTCGAGGTTCTTTAGATTATATCTTTTATTTGTAGTTATGTTCGTTATTTACGAGTTATGCACCTTTACTTTTTTGAGGTAACCCACACTACAAAAAAAAAAAAAAGACCTATGGCAAGGGTTATTTTCATCTCTAGCAAGGGTTTTAACCCCTGCGACAGGATGTAGCAAGGGTTTAACCAACCCTTGGATGGACCCTTGGCAAAGCCGCCCCTGCTACATATAGCAAGGGTTATAAGCGACCCTTGGTGCATGTCCCCTCCAACGGTTATAGCAAGGGTTTAACCCCTTGCTACACGTCAGTAAAATTCCAGCCATAGATTCTAGTAGCAAGGGTTCAAACCCTTGAAAAATTCGTTCCTACAACTAACAAGGGTTCAAACCCTTGCTACTTGCCTGTGTAAAATTATGTAAAGAGACGCTAGTCTGGGTTGTAACCCTTGAGAAATTTGTTGCTTAAATTAGCAAGGGTCAAAACCCTTGCTACACCTTATTATAATAGATATGAGATGATGCTTGCAGGGGTTTAAACCGTTGCATAATTTGTGACCAAGGCATGACCCTATTTTGTGTAGAAACCCAAACAGTAGCTAATTTTTTTTTGTTACTAAACAAAAACAATAAGATTAGTGGCTATAGCTTGGTTGCCAATAGCCTAGTCACTATATACAAATACAAATACAAGCTTGTTAATAAAATTATTAACATAACCTATACCTTTCATATCTTGAATCATAACATGATACAATCATCATCCAAAATGGTGTTTACATGGCTAAATACTTATCACCATAAACATTCAAACATAACCGTCATAATCCAAGTAATAATAGCGCATTCTTGATATTCAAAGTACTCAAAAGAACCTGTTGAAAGCTACAGGAATAGATCATATGATCCAAAATCCTTCATATAAGAAATTCACGACACATCTGATCAAGAAGCTTGAGAATCCAAAGACGGAGCTTGAGCACTAAAGGCACCCTGTTCATAAGAGAAAAGAAATGTCAAGATTTAAATATTAAAAAAACTACTTAGTCATACAACCCAACACTAATTCAAGTACATAAATAACAAGACAAGAAGATCGAGAAAAAGAGCAATCTTTGACTGCGTGCTTATGTCCTCTTCTCCCTGCTTTTTTAAAGAAACCGAAAATAGAACAGAAAGAAAACAACGACAGATTTGTTGGATAAACTAATTTTCAAGTCATAAACAATAAGAAGGAAGTTTTACAGAATATTTCCAAAAAAACATAGCCAAAAATTGATATCTCATGCATAATATAAACCATCCATAAATGCTTGCAACACCAAGCTCCAAAAGTTGGTTGCATAGGATAAAGCCAATACAGTCAAACTCGGGAGGAAGTTAAGATGGGAACCATTCATAAGAAGTCTAATCTAAGTGCAGATGGTTCTTAACAAATGAAAGAATTAACAGTTTGCATAAATCTACAAATTTGCTGCTGAATACCTTACATGCGCATCATGGGCACTATCTAATACTTGAGGTAGTAATCGTGTTGGATGTCCCAACCTCGCCAACTTTACTCTGCACAAGAGAAAAATCGTGAAAAGGCAAAATTCTGTACGTTCCATTTCACTTCAGTCTGCGTGTTCAGAATCAAGCTCGAAGTGAGCTTTTCTTCCCCCTAATTTATTATATTTGTGGTCCGACTGACACCCATAATGACCCATCCTAGCATGTCCTACAACCCAAAATAACCCGAATGCTATGATCTTATCTAACTTGTTTGCCACTAAATGCATAAGATGATTTTTGGTTTCTATCCAGTTTCGACATTCGTTCTATCGAGCAATCAATATTCAATAGTATGCATCATCACCATCAAATATACATCTAGCCTTACATGGCATGGCTATAGCAAAACAGAAAACAATGCTGCTCATCTTATGGTTAGGTGACCATATCAGTTCCTCTTCAAGCAGAAGCTCCATTTCCAGCTCCCATGGCTTTATCAACTTCTTCTAGAGAAATATAGGAATCGGAGAAGAAATAGCGATCACTGGCATCCCAGCTGCAACTCCAGCTTTGATTCCTGATACAGAATCCTGTCAAAACAACATTCGTCAGGATTTCGTCAAAGTTTTTGTCTATGTTCAGGGTGTGGCTTAGCATTCTCCTTTGTCCTCAAACCTTGAAATCTTATCACGACCAATGCTAGAGCTAGAAGCAAACATACATCAAAATTCACGATGGACATAAGCACAAAGTCGGGAAACTCCCCAATTTTAACTCAACCTACAGACACGAACAACAACTTGGCTAAATATCGATACGGGAGAAAAGAAATGGAAGATAGACAATCCAATTCTCGTTACCTCAATGAAACAATAATGGAACACAAGACTGAGGAAAGCTGGAGGGGCACCGAGATTGACTATCTGAAGCTTTCTGTCAACGTCCTGCAGAATCGGACTCTCGAGAAGCTGAATAACTCGTCTTCACGCTTGACCAAGTGAGGAAGATGATACTCGAGCCGAGGTTTCCTGAATTCGCAACTCAGAAGTAGAATTGGAGAAAATACAGAACACGAAGGGAGAAGGGGAATCAAACAGAGCATTCTATTATAATCTATAATATGCATGGCGTCAAAACCTAAAATCAATCGACAGTCATGAATAGTGCACATGCCTAGAGAAATATAGGAATCGGAGAAGCACACTGAAGTGAGGGAGAGACCGAACAATCGAATTGCTCGGAGCGAGGGAGACATCGGAGAAGCGCATCGTTGGGAGAAAGGAAGAAATCGGAGAACCGCGTCGCTTTGAGCTAGAGTTCAGAGGATCGCGTGGCTTCGAGCGAGACAGAGGCCAGAGAAGAAGAGAATCGGAATTGCGTGGCTTTTATTTTGTAACTATCAATTCTGGGTTCGTTTGGAAAAGAAGCAAAATAGATAAGGAAAGGGAATACGAATTTTTGTTTGACAGAGGGAATAGGAATCTTCAAGAGCAATGTTCGGGGAAGAAGATTGGAAAAGGGAAGAGGATTTCTCACCGAGCTTAGTTAAGTTTGTAGCAAGGGTTTCCAAACCCCTAGAACAAACTGCTGGTACAATGAATTCCTAGAAAATTAGCAAGGGTTTACGAACCCCTGTTACGTAACCCTTGGCATAAGGCCTTTTTCTTGTAGTGCCACCGCCTACTGAAGGCGGAGACACGCGTTGTGCTTGTGTATGTGGATGAATGTGTATGTTGATGTATGGATGATGGTATTAAAGTAAGGGAACCCCCGGGCGGTTGGATCACTACTGGACGCAGTAGTTGACCGTGTATGTTTGGGTCACTACTGGATGGAGAGGTAACGCAGTAGTTGACCGAGCTTGGTGCTGGACGATGGGAGGTAACGCAATACCATTGCTTTTGAGGTAGGGGCCCCGGATGGCCAGACGTAAAGCGGTAGTCCCTAATAGTAATTATGTGTGTGAGTTAAGGATAGTAGTAGAGAAATCCTATAAGTTAATTAGAGAATGAATTATAAAGGGTGAAAGCGAGAATGACTTTCACGTAAGAGGGGAAATTCTAATAACATTTAATATTAAGGAAATTCTTAAGGCAAGGACCTTAGGTTGTAGTAACGACGAGACTGACATCTTCTCACTCACCAGGTAGAGGAAGGGTTATCAGATGTGTATTTCGAGAAGAGGTGGGGCGAGGCGAGCAGTTGCACAAGCATTGATGAGATCTCAGGGAGCTCAGAGGTTAAGTTTTATTGACGATGGATTGAGGTCGCCCAACTGTTTAGGACATTTCATTTCAATTTCTTTTGGAAATGATTCGGTTGTATTTTTTTTTAATGAAGTTTTTGAACATTGTTTGGTCGACTCTGGATTCATGAGTATTTTAGTTTGGTAAAAAGGATCGGGGTGTTTCAAATCGACCCTATAATTATGAACTGCAACTGCATACCCCTTTTGAAATATTTACACATAATTCCGAATCCAAAACAACATCCTTAACCAAGGAGACATATCGAGCAATGTGTTGGTTGCATCCTGAATCAAGTTTGCAAGGAACAATTATCGTAGCTAGCTGTCGCAATGCTAGCTTTAGTAGCTTAGCCTTATATATCCACTCTTCCCTTTACACAAGACTACTAGGGTTCGAGTATTAAGCTTAGGCTTAAACACACAATTACAGATCAATCCTCAACTTAACACAATCAACATATGGGACATGCACGTGCATGACCATGCACAGATGCTGCGTAACAATATACAAAATACATCGCCGTCACTGTCTTGCGCCATGTGTGCTCCATGTAGGTCACAGATTTGCGGATGGAATTCTCCAAGAAGATCTCGAGAACTCCCTGAGTCTCCTCATAGATCAGCTCGCTGATCCTCTTCACCTCACCTCTGCGAACCAAGTGACGAATCACAGACCCTAGAGCTTTGCTCCTCCGTTTTCGAGCCCTTTCCTCCTTGTCGCGTCCGGACTTTTTGCTACACGAAATCAAACTAAAAGATCTAAGGGTGCGTTTGGATAAGTGGATTTTAAATGTAAGGTATTTGAAATATTAGCATTTGAAATGGATGTATTCGAAATATTAGCATTTGAAATACATGTAATTCAAATTCATTGTTTGGATACTCATTTGTAATTTGTTTGTATTTTGTATTTTATGATTTTCAATTTCAATTTTTAATTTTCTGGTCACTTACTACAAATTTTGGTAAATTACAATTTGGTACCCAAAATTAATTTTTCTTACAATTTAGTACCTAAACTTTTAAAATTTTACAAAAAGGTCCTGAAATTTTGATGGTAAAATTACATTTTGGTACCTTTATATGTTTTGCCTCACACTATAGTACCTAAACTTTTCATATTTTACGAATAGGTCCATTCTTTTGTTAGGAGGTATTTCAAATCACTAGTTGTTGAAATGTATTTGAAGTTGACAAAAAATACACTAGACGTGTATTTGGAAATCACCCCATGAATTTGACACAAATCCAAATGTAATTAATATCCAAACACATTATTTGGTATTTGGAAATCCAAATCACAAATACCAAATCCAAATCATTGTATCCAAACGCACCCTAATAAATTTTCAATGTATGAGATAAATTGGAGAAGCAAATAATTTTGTGAGTGAGTTGGGAAACAATTTAATGAAGGTATTTATAGGAAGGGAATGTGCTTTGGTTGAAATTGAAACAATCCTTGGCAAAAAGATCTATTTCCACCGTAGATAAGATTACATCGGCGCCTTGAGATGAACACTCGTGGGTCGTCTAGATGTGGATGGATGACGTGGATACAAATTTTCAATTTTGTCCGTTTGAAAATTCGCGTCGAAAAAATTGGATTTTTTTGGCATAGATAGTGGTTTCAGATAAATAGTCAGAAAACAACAAACAATCAAATGCGGTAGTCGATAAATAATTGAACTACCAATGATAGAGTCTCTTAAGTCACTAAACGGGCAACTCTATTGTACATGTTAAGAGTAAATTAAACTCCTCTAGAACCGTACCACCTAATCCATGGGCCACCTCCACCCTTGAGCTCTTCATACCAAAGTTTGGCAATCGCTCAAAATTCATAGTAAGAAACCCTCAATTTCCCCGCAACTCATAATTGGGCGCTTAAGTCGAATGAAATTGAATGATACGTCATCGTTCTGTAGAACTCGCAAAACAGAGGCGTTTCGCTTTTCTTCCTCGTGTGTTTCAACTTTCAAGGTAAATTGCAAGTTTGGTCATTAGAATTACTATAAAAGTTTACGTTTGCCACTAAGATTAATTTATTCTATTCATAGTTACTTAAATTAGTTTAACTGTCCAAGTTTGGTCACCTGCCGTTAGTCTCTGTTAACTTTTGATGATGTGGCGGTCAACTCTCATAGTTGACCATTAAATAAGTGACGTGGCAGTAAAAAAAATAATGAAAATTAATATTTATAAGTTCCACCTCATTATAACAATATATTATTTTTATGGGTATCATAACAACAAATTAAGATAAATAAAACAAAAATATTATAACTACCAAAATTGAATACACACCTTTTTCGTCGTTCTTCCTAGAACTTCAAACCCAAATTCATATTTCACCTTTTTCGTCGTTCTTCCGAGAACTCCAAACTCAAAATCATCTTCCCCACACGACCGGAAGTGATTTTGTTGACCGCCATACTTGTGGCGATGTGTTAGAAACAAAGTTTCTAACGATTTAGAGAATAGGGAATTTAGCTAGATCGATTAGGGATTGATCAAGCTAGGGATTGGAATTTGGGAATTTGGGAAGAAGAGAGGGGAAAAGGAGGCTGTTGCCGAGCAGCCAAGGGAGAGAGAGAGAGAGAGAGAGAGAGAGAGAGAGAGATCGGCGCAGGAGAGAGAGAGAGAGATTAGGTTTTAGGTTTTCTGTAATTGATTGCTTAATCTCAAATTACACCCTACTGCAGATTATATAATCCGCTAATTCTCTAACAGCTACCCAATTAATAAAATGTAACAACCGACTCCCCTGCTTATTGCTAAATACCCCAAATAATCCCCCAACTAACAAAGACCGACAATAATACGAAATAACAAAAACTGCAAATTATTTGTTTCTAACATCCCCGCCCCCTTGGGAACAACCTTGTCCTCAAGGTTGCGGCTTCTCTTGCTCCACTCCGGCTTCCTCCGTCATTTCCTCTTCTGCCTCGTCTTCCCATCGTCCCACCAAGAACATCAAATCAGGCTTCCCGCATTTGTGGCCAAAGGTGAACCTCTCGTCACAATTGAAACACTTCCCTTCTCGCCTCTTCTGCTCGATCTCAGCCGGAGATAGCGTCCTAAATCCTTTGGGTGGTGGCCTTGGTCCCGCGCGAATGGCAGCCGAGGGTGGCCCAGCCGCCGCACCTCCTCCCGAGCTCGGACCCGGCGCTGACGCACCCGCTCCGCCGATCGGCCCACTCCCACTGCTTCCTCCGCTCGGCTTCTGATAGCGGCCTATTGCTCCCCGCCAGCTAGCCAACTCCTCCTCTTTGTTACCTGCAAGACGGAAAACAGCTCGAAGTGAATCGGGCTCAAATACACGAACCGCCGCTGCAATCTCTGGGCGGAGTCCCGCCATGCACAGACCCACCAATGTCTCCTCCGGAACGCCCTTACACTGGTTACCCAGTTTGAAGAACTCAGCTCTATACTCTGCCACTGTCCCCGTCTGGCGTAGCTTAGCCAACTGCTCTGGAGCCCACCCTTCTGACTTGCCGAACTGATACCTCGACTCCTCCTTGAACATCGGCCAAGTGATTAGCGTATGAGCTTCAGCATAGGTCCGCTCCATCCATTCCCACCACTGCAATGCATCCCCTTCTAAATAGAAGGACGCCAACTGAGCCTTCCGCTCTTCCCTAGTGGGATGGTTCTTGAACCACCGCTCCGCGGAGTATATCCACAGACCTGCATCCTCCCTGCCATTGAACTTTGGGAATTCAATGGTAGGAGGTTTAGCTCGAAACACCATGTCATGTTCAGCCTCACCACCCCGGGAATAACCGGCGTGCCTCCCATACCCCTGGGCCCCACCGTGATAATGCTGCGAAAATCGAGGTTCCCCTTCATATTCCCACTCATCCTCTTCCTCCTCCTGATATCTCCTTCTTCGGCCCATCTCATTTCGCTGCCTCTGATCACCTGTTTCCGCCCTCATGAATTCCTTACCGGTGCCTTGCTGATTCACAAAAGGAGGTTGAGTGCCACTGTACTCCTCAAACTGGCCTTGGGGAGCCGGAAATCCCCTGCTGCCCGTCCCCCCTGCACGCACTAGCTGCTGCCCTGGTTCGACCGGGTTCGGTTCGACCGGGTCCGGTCCGACCGGCCTCGACCCGCCCGGGTTCGATCCGACTGCTCGGGGCCCGACTCGGCCCAGCTCGGCCCACATACTCGCCCCGGCCCGCTGGACCCCCGCCCACGGGGCTTGGCCGCCCCATCTCCCAGCCGCGGCCCATCTCTCGCCGCCCACCACCTGGCCCGCCTTCCAGCCCAACTCGGCCCATCTGGCTTCCTTCATCCCTGCTGTAATCCGCCCCTGGCCCATACAACTCGTTAGGCCAGGGCCCGTGATCATACTCCTGCTCCAAGCCCATCAACTCTTCCTCGTCCAGGCCCGCTTGCAGATCTGGTTCCACGTACTCGGCCATCTTGGCCTTGCCCCGCGCGCGCGCCTTTTCCTGGGCCGATGGGGTCGGTAATAGCCCATCTTTGACCGATGGGCCGAAAGAGACTTGGCCCGCACGCGACCCGGTTGGCCGGCTAGGGTTGACCGCCGCCCCTCCCTTCTCACCCGAGCCGCCCGCCACCGTGTCCCCCGGAAGCCGCGCGGCACCCTGGCCGCCGAGCTCCCCCACCGAGGCGGAGCCTTCCCCCGGCGCTCCTTCCTCCTCCTGCGGCTGGTCGCCACCGCCAACTCTGGCCCCGCCTTTCTTCCAGGCCTCCGTCAGGCCGCTCACCTGCCCCGCCAACGCCTCCACCGCCGCCGTCAAGGCCTCGATGGTGCGGTTGTGATCCCTAGCCCTCACCTGCAGCTCCTTCAACTCCTCCTCCACCCGCGCCTACCTCCTCGCCTGCGCCTCCATGTCTCTCCTCAGTTCCTCGACCCCTGTCAGATCCTCCACTGCCCCGTCGTACCCGTCGTCACCTGCATCGGCGCCCCTCTCACCAGCCTGGGCCGCCCTCTCCGCCTTCTCTGCTGCCTTCATGGATTTCGTCGTTACCATCGTTGCCTTCCCTGGTTCAAGAGCTCACCAGAACTCACTCTCGAGCCAGGCTCTGATACCAGATGTTAGAAACAAAGTTTCTAACGATTTAGAGAATAGGGAATTTAGCTAGATCGATTAGGGATTGATCAAGCTAGGGATTGGAATTTGGGAATTTGGGAAGAAGAGAGGGGAAAAGGAGGCTGTTGCCGAGCAGCCAAGGGAGAGAGAGAGAGAGAGAGATCGGCGCAGGAGAGAGAGAGAGATATTAGGTTTTAGGTTTTCTGTAATTGATTGCTTAATCTCAAATTACACCCTACTGCAGATTATATAATCCGCTAATTCTCTAACAGCTACCCAATTAATAAAATGTAACAACCGACTCCCCTGCTTATTGCTAAATACCCCAAATAATCCCCCAACTAACAAAGACCGACAATAATACGAAATAACAAAAACTGCAAATTATTTGTTTCTAACACGATGCAGGTGGTCGCAAGGAGAATGCAGGTTGGTATCATTTTACGCCTTCGACTATGACTCCTACTCCAAGTACTGCGACAAGTGCCGATTCCCTCATCGCTAGTTCTTTCAATCTCTCCGGTTGAATCGCCAACTGGATCGGATATGTCACCGTCTCCAACAATGATACCACCAGAACCCTTGGCCGTTGGGACATCATAATCACGTGGTGCGGGACCATCACACGACTGTAATGGATCGTGCATTTGAAAGGATTCCTAGAGCTCGTTGACCCAGTCCGAGACCCGAACGTCAGAGTAATCGGACCCATCTCTTGTGAGACCCTCATTGTGCAGATCTTCGACGAGGTAGAGAGAATCGAGGAGGAACAACATGTCCACGACAGTAATCTAGGGTAGATCAGCGTCACACATACGCCGCTAGTGAATTGAGAAATTGGCAAGTGAAATAGGACCCTCTAGAGTACGGAATCGGAGAATCGTCATCTGGATTGACGGGGCTTAAAACGCTGGCACTTGAAATGTAGGGGGTACAATAATGAGATTAGGAAGAAGAGAGGGGAGGAAAGGGAAGATGATGATGATGGAGAGGAGGGGAAATAGGTCGATTTAGAGTCATTGTTAGACCAGGAACTCGATGACGGATTCTAGGAAAAATTATTGAGCGAGAGCACCGACGAGGCCAGAGGGGAAAAACAGGAAACATCAACACCTTGGTCAAGCGGTTAGGTGTTTAGGGAATTATTAGGAATGAAATTTCATTTTTAAGAGTTGTGAAAATGAGGTGGAAATTGTAAAATATCAATTATAGGTACCAAACTTGCAATTTACCCCAACTTTCAACAGTTTGTTTTGGTGCGGGAGTGATCCAATTTTGCTTAAACCCTAAACCCCATAGCTGGACTGAATACTCTGCTCGGCGGTCTGAACTCTGAAGTCGTATCTTTAACAATGGGGTTTTTCGATCTGAACATCCCTTACGAGACCTCGCAATCATCCAAGGCTACGCGGATGAAGCTCGTAATCAAGGCCATGGAGCTCGGCTACAGCGGCGTCGCTTACAATCGGATGATGAGAGGCGTGATGTCCGATCACGACCGGTGCTCTATCCCGCTCTTGTCTTTCTCATCTCTACTTAGTCTCGTTCCTTCTCTCGCATCCTCAGTCAGTTTCCACCGTGAGCTGCTCGGAGTTCCACGCAACACGCCCTTCCGTCAGTACACTCGTCTGACGGTCTGCGTGGATAGTCCGGCGCAAGCACAGGTGCTTAATAGCGGGAATCCTATCTTGAAGAGCTATGATGTTGTGGCTGTGAGGCCGACGAATCAAGTTGCATTCGATCATGCATGTGAGAAGTCGGAGGTTTGCTTCGATTTTTGGCCCAATTGCGTTTTGTTAGTCTGAATCATTGTTGGAATCGAGTGTCGTTTTGGCCTGATTACAATGGTATTACATGAATAGGTGGACTTGATTGCTATTGACTTCTCAGAGAAGCTGCCTTTCAGGTTGAAGATGTCAATGGTTAAAGCTGCGGTTGAGGTTTGGCAACCTTTGCTGTTAGCTTTTGTGGTATTCGTTTGCTTTTGAAGTTTCGTGTTAGTGATTTTGTGGTATTCCTTTCCATTGGCAGCGTGGCGTTTATTTTGAGATAATGTACTCTGACCTTATTGCGGAGAGAAGGCAGATGATTCCCAATGCTAAGGTATGAATTCTGTAGTTGTTGAATGGTTGTGTTTAGCAATTTTTGTAGTCATTGGTCTTCGTTTAGTTGCTCCTTTTGATTGAATTACACTAGACATTTTAGGTAAATTTGATAATATGGCCACTCTCAGCTGTTTGTACTCTTTGCATCAGCCATCAAGTTTTGATTCGAAACAAAGTCTGCCCCTTTCATGTAGATGGAATTTTGTTCAGGAGTGATCTAGGTGATGGATGGTCTTGTGAATTGGCTGCTAAGTTATCTTAACTTTCAGTATATATCTCTAATGCAGGGGCCGAAACCCATTGTGGTTAGTGGTTACTGCTTCTGCATGGTCTTCCACAGAGGATACCTGATATTGCTTACTGCATAGGGGAGAAAGGATTGATTGTAAGGAATTTGAGAGTCCATTGAGTTTGTGACATCTTCAACTATCTATTATTATTAGTTTTATTATTATTTTTTTGTCAGAAACTATCTTTTATTTTCTAAGGCTGATGGTCTGATTGAAATGATTGTACAGTTTGGTTCTTCTCTTCTGGTACCTGGCTGGTATTTTTCCTTTGTCTGGAATTGTGACTCCTAATATGTCCTACATGTTTCTTAACTTCCAGTTATTGGTTGATTGGACGCGGGGCAAGAATCTCATTTTTTCTAGTGCTGCTTCTTCAGTAAATGAAATTAGAGGGCCATATGATGTTGCAAATTTATTATCGATGTTGCTTGGCCTCTCTATGGAACGATCCAAAGCAGCCATTTCCAAAAATTGTAGGTATGGAGCATGCAATCAATGATCGATTGATGTTGCATATGTTCTTATGTATGTTCTCTGACTTTTATTGTTTTGGGACAAATGACCTGCAGAAGTCTTCTAACTAATTCCTTAAGGAAAAGGAACTTCTACAAGGAAGCTATCAGGGTGGAGCCTTTATCAAATGGACAAACATCCGACTCAAAGAATCCCTTTTCTGCGGATTGGCTTATGTGGGATCCCATCTCTAGTGGGGAAGGTGATTTACAGTTAGATGATGTGCCAGTGGCAGTGAAGGCGTCAAAAACCATGAAAGCAATTGACTTCGATTCAATTATTGATAACACCTCTTCACTTGGTGGACGCTTTCAGATGGGTTCCACGTCCCTCGTGTTAACTCCCACTACTGTTGAAGTGCCTGAGAAGCTTGATGGAGATCATCCCTTGACTTGTCAGATTTCAGATGCACCATCACAAAATCAAATTTCTGGTTCTGAAAACTCTCAGGAAGTCAGTTTACCCGATGCTGAGACAATAGCTATTTCTTCTTCTAATGAGATTAGGAGCCCAACAAGCACCGGCGGGAAAGAAGCTGCAATCTTGGATGGCTTAGGGAACTCAGTTTCGCCAGCTAAAACTGAAGGATATGATTCGCCTTCACAAAAAATCTCCTCTCTATCAAATTCTCAAAATGATAATACGGTCTATCGCACATCTGTGATGCCTATTGAGGTATCTGGGAGCACAGACGTTCTTTCTCAAATTGACAAGTCTACAAAGTCGCAAGACTTTGACATTGAATTGCATGCAAAGATTGTTGTTCATCAAGATATTGAGGCGATCTTAGAACCCCAGAAAGATGCACAGGATTGCACGAATCCTTCAGGCACTGAACTGATTGAATCTGAAAACAATACAGTTTCAGTTGAGAATAAGGTTTCTCTCCCTCTATCGTCCGACATCATTCCTAGGGATGCTTCACGAACTGCAAATTATAGTTCAATTGTAGATGTTCAAATGAAGGAGGTAGAGCAGACAGAAGTCAACAGAGATATTATCCTGCTTTCAGATGATGATGTTGAAGATGACTCTCAAGTTGCAAGTTTTCTGCCCTCTGAGGATCAGAATTCTCAAGAACAACACCATGGAAAGGGTGAAGGCAAAAATTTGACCTCAGTGCCATCTTCAGGTACTATTGTGCTTTTCCATGTAAAAGATGACTTTGCCTTCTGGTTTTCTGTCTATCCTATTGAGGAAGTAGTTCTTATTTGTTGGAAGGCCTTTCTTAACAGATCCCTGACAAAAAAATATCAACAACTGTAGATGTCCTTTAGAACGTGACCCATTCTGATAGGATAAAACATGAAGTAGATTGATTAAGAATTGGATTTGGATGATACCCGGACCTGAATATTAAGGGTAATGGATGTTCATGGATTTGTCATTATGTTTTATGTTATTCTCAGTCTCGTAAGTTTGTATGGGAACCTGAAGTCTTGATGTCTCAGATGAACTTTTCTTACATCGTTTTCGTCTTATTGGTTCTTATTTTCCTCCATGCATTGGTTCTTTTTGCCGAATGAAGGAAGAACGAGAGCAAAATTGAAGAAAACGATGGGGTTACTACCTTTCAAGCGGTTGTTGCATCCTATAGCCTTCAAGAAGAAAGGCAGGAGATCTGAGCACAGAAGGATGTTGGCATAGTTGGAAATGCAGTCGGCACAACTGTAAGATTGCAGTACAGGTTAAGCGAAATTTCCCTGTATTCTCTGTTTTCATTTTTATTTAGTAAAGCCGACAAAATGGCTTATCTAGCCGATAGATTCGTGACACAAGATTATATGAAGTAGCGAACTCTGCTATATTGCATTCATGAAACAAGAACAGTAGAGGCCATGAAGCCCTTTGATACTTAAAAGATTAGTAGTGGATTTTGTCATCTGAATCTAGTAGTTCTGAAAGAGGCACAAATAGATGATCCCGTCCCTACATGTTACTGCTTCTCATGTGATCCGTTATACCGAGAAAGGGAGAGGGGATCTACTTTTGGTTTTTAACCACTAGCTTCATCATTGAGTTGGCTTCCTTTTCCCACTTGCTAGGTGCTGCTTGTTAGTGCACTTTTGTGGGTAGATCCCTATTTAGCTTACTTGGTCTGTTGAAAAATGCCGCTTTCTGTTCTATTTATACATATTTCTTCCCTGCGACACCAGGTCTAGTTATCATCAAGCAGGTCTCTGCCTGTCGTCAGTTGGGGTCATTTGCCGGAGAATCTTTATAGGAAATCATGTTTAAGCTTCAAGCAATATTTAAGCTGTTCAGGGGTAATGAGTACATGTTCACCATGATCAACATTGGATTAGTTTAATGGTAATTATCTATGACTTGATATGAAAGGGGGTCTTGGTTGAGCAGCTTTTGATCGAAGTTTAGTGGGTAATTAAGGGCCGACAAAACTTTAGGGAGCGCCGTTTTCCTACTTCTCTGGGGTTTGTTTCAGACTAGACTCTTCTTTGCGCCTTTAACGCTCAAGTCTCGTTAAAATGCTGAGTCAATCTTGACTTGCACTCGCTCAAACTCACAAGATTGGAAGCTCTTTCTAGGGATGTATTGCTCTTACTATTTCTGGATGCATAAAAATGAGTGAGACGCTCTCCTTATATTAGCCTCGTCATCTCCAAAATGGACGACTAAGAACTATCTAATCCTACGACTAAGATCCAACATCTAGAAATCTTTACACAAATATCTACATTTTAGAAATCTCTAAGAAGATCTCTACTAGACTCCATGGTCTTCCACATGCTTTCACATCCTTGCTTCTTCAGAATTTATAAGGTCGTCATCTTAATCCTCAGATTCGTTGGCCATCAATGGATCTTTATCTTTGCATGCATTGGCCTTCAAATCTTCTTTTTCTTCATGTGTGTTTGCAATAGGGTACTTGAATAGATATTGGATGACCTTCTTGCTTTGGTAGATTCTCACTTCATGCGTGTTGATCTATGCTTCTCGAGGCTCCTTGTTAGGTAGGTTGATCATCCTTCTCTTCTTGGATAGGTTGAAGTCTTGAAGATCCTCTATCATGGTCTCCATGGCTTGTAAGATGCTTTCATCGAGTCGCGAGTAGCTTTCTTCGTTCATTGCATCTTATTGAGGATGTCTCTTGCCTTCTTCTTCCAAAGATTGAGTTATAAACTCATCTTCTTCTTCCTTGAACTTGTTGGCCTTATGTTGATCCCATGCTCCATGCTGCATGCTCCACGATCTCTCTATCTTCCTATGTGTTAGCATTGAGATGATCTTCCTTTTCTTCATGCTACACGAAATCTTTATGCTCCATAAGCTCTTCTTGCGCCTTGATCTCTTCAAAACCTTCACACACTTCATTGGAACTTCTTTGATTGGCTTCGGGAGGCTCCTTGATGATATGAACATCTTCTAGCAATTTCTTTGATGATAGCATCAATGCTCCTAGAAGGTTTTGACTTGATTTGGTATCTTGCATAGAGAAAGAAACTTGCCCCATCTTCGCTATAGTAGGGTTATGTCCATTATCTCTCTTAGTAGCTCTTGCTCTTCTTGATCCGACGTCTCTCTAATCCAATCAAGAGGAATCCTATCTTGACAGAATTATAGTGGGAGAGGTTAGATGTTGCTTGCTTAAACTTTTGATGCTTTTTGGCCCATCTTTCTTTGAGTGATGCTTCAACTATTTTCGTCCTTAGATGCCTTGCAATGCTTCCCTCGAGTACTATTTCTACAAAACAAAAACAAACAAGGAGGTAATAGTTTTCAAAAGTAGTCGAACACAAGAGGTTAGTTTATTTCAAGTAATATAAAATATAGTCGAAAATGGCGCCAAAAATTTGATGTAGAAAATACAAGCGACAATCCTAGATGTGCCTAGGGTCGTTTCCACGAGGTCTTTTGATAGTAACTACTCAAACCTAACTTATTGAGATGCAAGAAAAAGTAAATATGATGGGATGAGGTGCCCTTACTCGAGATTACTAACTACTAATGCAACAAATAAACAAACAAAGATGCAGTGCAAACAAGAAAGCAACGAAAATTAATGTTTAGATAGTAACTCTAGATGATCATGTGTTCGTTATCATTAAAAAGATGCTTCAATGCTTCTTCTATTAAGATGCCCTATCCCTTCCACTGAATACACTCTCTAACTGTGCATGCGCCTCTTGTGATAGAGATTTGACTAGCTAATGCGTGTTTTTGTTTCATGTCCTTACCTAGTCAATAAAGAACAAAGAAGTTAAGATAATATATAATTAATTGTAGGCTGCTACGAATAATAACTATAGTCTATCGCATCGATGATCTAAGAATCAAACATCTCCCTTTGTCATGCATAGAAGGATTTCCAATCGACCTATACATACATCAGAAGGATGCCTACTATATGAGATTTGTTCCTTGTTTCCCATAATAGCAGTAGAAACAATAACTATAGTAGCATTCAATAGAATCATAAGCATTGATTAACTAAAACATCTAATAATCATAGTATCGAACCCGTCAAGCAATACATAATACAAGCATAGATTGACATCAAGTATCGATTATATGAATAATAAACACAAAGACAATCAATAAATCACAGAAATAGTACACAAAGCATCATCGAATTACCACTACAAGAAAATCCTTATATAGCGACTATGAAAATTTGCCTCTATATGTCCATTATTTGCCTCTATATATATTTAGAGGCAAATAAAACATTTGCCTCAAATACTCCAGTGGCTATAGCCCTACAGAGGCAAATATAGCGACATATATTATCTGTTGCTGATTAGAGATTTTGCAGCTAATATTTTAGCGGCTAATGTCACTTTTATTTTGCCTTTGTATTCTAGATTAGAGACATAAATATTTGCCTCTAATATTATCTTTAGAGGTAGATAGATTTGCTTGTGAAATTAACCTATTGAGGCGAATACACACTACAAGAAAAACAGTCATTAACGACGGGGAAATCCATTGTTTACGAGCCAAATTCCGTCGTTGATAATTGTTAACAAAGGACAAAGGTCCATTCTTAATACTTTTAACAACGAATTATTGTCGTCATTGATAACAATAACACCAATCTATATATCAATGACGAGCTGAGGGACATGGAATTCCATCGTTATGTTACAATAAACAACTTCGACCAAGGATTTTTAATATATATATATATACCTGAGTTTCCTTGTATACAAGCTAGTTTCTGACAAACTATTATCAATCACAATGGAATAATATATATTTCTGTATTGGCATTTCACTACAACACCTGCTTGAATATAAAATCCTACTTTACTGCTACAAGAATGATGTAAGCTAATTCATGTGGCAAATAGCTCGTAAATTACAATCTGCCAAAGTTTCCAAACCTCCCACCATACGTTGTTATAGTTGCAAGGATAATGGTGTAGCTGCAAATTACAAACAAAAAGTCAGCTTACTCATATTTTGAAAACTCCATTCAAGACAACAAACGAACGAACTTTTAAGTTCATTACAATCTGTAATTCTGCAGGTTCATTGTGTTAAGAATTGACAAATTCCATGGTCTATTCATTCATTCACAAGGTGGTGCTTGATGGACCAAATTTCATTACAGTAGCAGCTCCGATAGTCAAAAAACATATGGGCAAACTAACTCACTGTTAAACTATGATTATAATGATTATTGAGCATAAAACATTTAGCACAAGCATGCAAACTAGTTCATAAAGTTGTAAAAAAGAAAAGAAATCGATGCAACTCATGACTCATTCATATAAGAACTTTAATATAAACATAACAGTCTACATAAGCTTGAATCACAGCAGCTTGAATCAGAGCAATTTACATAAGCCTGATCGAGCAGGGGGCAAATCATAAACTTGAAATAACATGCTCCCCCTATTCAGTCCAAAAACAAAGCACGCAGCAACCAAATTTCAAAATAGCAAATTTCCATACATAAACAGAGTTAGGGAAAGAGGATATAATTCACATACTTGCTATGGGTTAGTAGAAATAGAGCTGCACAATCTGGTAGGACACCCTGAGATTGCAACCTCCACAAAGCACTTCAAGCAGTATGACCTGAAACAGAGAAACCAAAGAAAAAGAGTATGGCAAGGAAAAACAGAACTAGTGAGACACAATCACACAACACTATGAGACAACCTGGCCTGCAATCAACTAGCCAAGTTTGCTAAGCTACAAGCTTGCTCAACGAATTGCAGCAGTGACTTTGAAAAAATTACAGTAGCAAACATAAAACATTTCCAAGCAATCAACTTAGTTCCTTCAAATTGAATGCAAAAAACATAATATAAATACAACTAGCCAAGCTTCCTAAGCTACTCAAACTTAACATCACTCACCATTACTCTAAGCTCTCAGGAGAGACATCATGTTACCATCGTTGATCCCTTTACAAACTGCTTCTCCAGGTGACAAAGCCGACAACAGCACCACCGAATCACATCTTCAAACGGCCACTGCCACAAATCCAAACCAGATGAGAAAAATGGAACAAGCTCCAGGACTAACAATGGAGAAACCAAACAATAAAAACAAGCTAATGCAATAGTTGAACCAGCCAACCACAAATAACCCATCAAACCAGGAATAAGAATACTTTATATGTGTGATTTTCTTGCTATAAGGCTATAAGCTAAGTCCCTTTCAATGAACTGGTAAAAGAAATCAATACCGTCAATAGGCGCCAGCGCTGGACAGGAGACAGGAGATTGGGTGAAAGTCGAGGGAAAGGAATGGGTGCAATACTTCTCCGCTGTTGTCGTTATGCTCATCGTAGGAGATTTCAAAGTTTGATTCCTCTTCTAGAATGGATTGATGGCGGGGGGGATTAGGAAGAGGTAGCAGCGTGAGAGGCAGAGCAGAACATAAGACTTACAG